TCGATTACTTTTTTTTTTTTTAAAAGAAAAATGCTAACCTCAAGTGCATTTTTTTTTTGCAAGCATATACATTTATTTATCCAGTGATTTATGAGGTATTATGTATATGCAGTGAATTTGGTTTTTGGCCTAATCTATCTATTACATAGGTATGATTTTCTAGCGAAGAAGACCCTTCGAACCGGATATTTCCTGTGGGCAATGTTTGCTTATGGATTAGGTACAAAATCATACACGAAAAACACATGTGATGTACTCGTAATTTTTAAAAGGTCGTTATATTGTTTCGATTTAGCGATAATCGTGACTTTTCGAATATTTTTTCAGGTCTCCTAATCACATATGTAGCTCTAAACTTGATGGATGGTCATGGCCAGCCGGCTTTGCTCTACATTGTCCCTTTTACCCTCGGTAAATTTTCTTAAAATTACGATTTATGCGAAAATTATGTGAATTCAGTTGAAGTTGGTCGGTCTTCGTCTGGTTTAGAATTTATTACAACATTAGAAAAAAATAAAAAATTAAAAAACTAAAAACGAACAATGCAGGGACATTTTTGGCACTCGGGAGAAAAAGAGGCGATTTGGAGTTACTATGGACGAGAGGGGAACCTGAAAGGGTTTGCCCGCACGTTCGTCTTGAATCGGGTCAAGATTCGATTTGAGAAAAAATGAAGAAAATAACAAACTTACAAACTTTCTATGTAACTCTGTATAATTTCTTCTTAGTAGTAAGATAATTAGAATGCAATCTTATCTGTATTCTGGCCAAAAAATGAATAGTTTGTTCTTGGAAGTATGTATAATATTATCATTGTTATTTAGATCAAATGTATGAAACATTGAGATGCACCTTGTATGTGTTTTGAAGGTTTTATCTCTGTTGGATTTTTCTGCTTTTTTTTTGTCATTTTTTTTTTCATAATATTACAAAACAAAATGATGGGAGCAATGATTTTCTTATCACAATTAAGTAAAAAAAAAAATTATTTTAAGCTTAAGTGTAAACAAATTTAACCAGACAAGCCCAACTATGAGAAAGTATGATTAAAAGATCTCATGTGTTCCAAATTACAAGTTATTCTATAGTCAGATAAATTTCGTTATTTAAAATTATGCTCCAAGTTATGTTTTATCCAATAATCAGATAAATTTCACTATCTGAATATTGTGAGATGACCTTTTCATTTTTAAAATTCACAAAGCAAATAGTTTTGACTTTGAGAATTTATAATACAGAACACAATCACTAATCACAATGATTAGCTTGTAATTGAATTTAAGAAAAAGAAAAAAAATGAACTAAGAAAGTACAGATTTATTTCAACAAAGAGAATCAGAATTATTTGTTTGAGTCTGTGTAGGCCAAGCTAATATCTACACTCGTGCCAGAAAATGTCTAAATTTAAAAATTGGCCTGCTGTGGTTTGCATTCAAGAATATCGTTTTCCACAAAGGGCACATTAACAGTTTTTATTTTATTTTATTATTAGATAACTAATTCCGTATATCAAAAATAAAAAAATTGTGATCTGATTCTTATTTCACTGAAGAAACTGAGCTTGACCTTGTAACTTTTTCTTTTTGTCCTTTTTTCTTTTCATTATTTATGCCCATCCTTTCTGCGTAAAATACGAGGGTGTAGCTTAATAAATAAATAAATGTCCAATTCTTACTAACCCTAAAAATGACAGTTTACCATACAAAAATGCATCATTGCATGTAAAATCATTAGAATTATTTTGAACTCGATGTTCAGGAAATAGTTGATGGATTTTAAGACAATATTGTAAGGGACAGGATAACTGGGTTGATCCATCATATTTTTATAATAAAAATATATACTTATGTTATAAAATGCAATACATTTGTTTATATGTTTTTAAGTATGAAATTTCAATTTCAGAATATGCATATTTGTCGAAAAGTATGACTATCTAAGTAGCTTGATTTTCCTATAATCAATTTTGAAAGGATATCATTTTAATATGACTTATGTGATAGTTGATTTGAAAAGGCTCAATATAGAAGCATTTTGGAATGTAGGATTGTAAATTTTGTTGTTTTTACATATCAAGCTAAAAACAACTAACTATTTGTCAAAAACTTTTAGCTAACAGTTGATTTAATTAGCAGATAGTTAATTGAACGAGCATAGTTTGTTGAATTAGATGATTGTAAAAGTGTTAGGTAAATAGTTAGTTGTTTCCTACTTGATATGTAAAAACAATCAAAATTACAATCTTATATTCCAAAATGCTTTTATATTGAGCTTTTTGGAAATTAACTTTTTTTTTATTTGAAAAATATATTTCAAATTGCTACTTACCATACAATGGAATCAAATGTTCTAATGTGTCAAGCATCTAATTCACCCTCCAACCTCTAATTTAGCCCCCAAAATGGTAATTACGAAACAAGCAATATTGAGCTTTTCTGTATTTTTTTTTTCTCTCTCTCTTTAATACGCTTAAGACTGTTTTATCCTTAATATGGTAAAAGTTGAATAATATTCCGTTCATTTCAAATTACTAATTTTAAATTTCGAAACTATTATAATTTATAATTGTCATAGTGATGCGGAAATTCCTTCATCTATTTTATAAAAATCACACCAATCAACATAACTAATTATATAAATAATGTATATCAAAATATCAATTATTTTATAAAAGTTAATTTAAATAAAGTCAATATTGATTTGTAAACTGTTCACCTTTCAACTCATATTTTGAATTTGATCAATAATGAATTTTATGAGTATAATTGACATTTTCACTAAAATTATATCAAACATTTTATTTTATGTGTATAAACTTATGACATGTTCGAATAAAGATTTGGACCAAAATAATTAATAGCTTAGCTCAATATATAATTACTGAGGTAACGTGGCAAATCCTTGCGGACAAATATGTTGTTCAATTGTTGACATAACATTACACAGGTATGCGTCATAATTATATATTTATTCTATGATTGATGAAAGGGTTAATGAATAGAGTTTAAGTAACTATAGGATAATAAATTTTAATGTTATTGAATTTATAATATGTGTTTACATATAATGATGTGTTAACATAAAAATAAATACTATGCGACAAAAACTAGTTAAAACTCTATTATGAATAAATATTGATGTAAAATATTATATTTTTTTTCAAAAAATAATTTAAATAATTATTTTATATATCCGCTTTTGAGAAGTATAATATTTTTTATAACAAAAATAAGTATTTTTAGAAAATTAAACCTGCTAATTATTAATCTTTTTTCGTAACAAAAATAAATAAATAAATAAAAGATCATTCCAAAATTAGAGATGTTAATTGAATTGAACAGCTAAAATATAGTTTAGCTCGAAAGTTCAAACTTGACTCTTTTATTTACATAGACGAGTTGAATTCGAACAATTCTATTTAAACTCGACTCTTTTGTTTATTTAAAAGAGTCAAACTTAATCAAGTTTGTTTATTAAACAAGTTGAGATTATTAGCGATTAACTCTTTTATTTTATGAGTTCTACATTGTGAGATTTATTGTCGATGGGTATGCAACATTGGATTGCGTTGCATATTCAGCTTTTGTTGCAGCTGCTACCGCTGTTTTCGACCAAACTAAACAAAACTACCAAAAGTAAGGATATCTTTCTAAAAATTATTTTGATGAAGCTATTTCATCCGTCAAAGAATAATAGAGAATTCATTTAAAATTTTGAGTCTATTAAATGAGTCAGATTAAGCTACATTATAGCTTTTTGCTAATTTATAAAACGAGTTGAGCTGTATATTTTATCAAACCAGCACGAGCTCAAACACGAAAAGCAAGCCTAAACAAAATTACCTAAAATATCATTTAGTTTGAGCTATGAATAAAAAAAAAAAATGAAAAAACATTAAAGAAGAAGAAAAATGAAAAAAAATCCCTACAAAATTTGCTTTCTCAGCTATAAAATGAGACGCATACCAAACCTCTCTACTCCTAGCCAACCCAACACTATTACCTTCCTTCGTTCCCTGAAAATTTCACAGCTTTGTTGTTGTTTTCTTGCTAAACCTTGCGCGAGCTCTCAGAAACCCGAACATCCATGGCGGAGTTCAAGGAGGAGGACGTCAATCTGGGGGCGAACAGGTACAGGGAGCGCCAGCCCCTGGGTACCGCCGCACAGACGGACAAGGACTACAAGGAGGCGCCGGCGGCGCCGCTGTTCGAGCCCGGCGAGCTGAAATCGTGGTCGTTCTACCGGGCGGGCATCGCCGAGTTCGTGGCCACCTTCCTGTTCCTGTACATTACCATACTGACGGTGATGGGCGTCGGCCGGTCGAGCAGCAAGTGCGCCTCCGTCGGGGTTCAGGGAGTCGCCTGGGCCTTCGGCGGCATGATTTTCGCCCTTGTGTATTGTACTGCCGGTATCTCAGGTGGGGTTTTGTCGATTTCCGATTTTTTTTTAGTCAACTTTTTGAAATAGTTCTTCAATTTTTAAGGATCTGAACTAGAATAGAAAAATTGAGCAAATTAAAGGGTATTTGGTCAGGTTTCTTGTTTTTGCAGGGACAAACTTAAGACAGTTTGCAATTGAGCCTCTAAATTTTGTATTTTGGATGTTGTTTCATGGCTTCCTAGCTTATATCTGCCACTCTTGTGTTGATTTTGTCCGTATTTTGTCGAAAATAAACGATTTTTGCGGACCCCATTTTGGATAATGTTCTTATACAAATTATATACATGTCGTGTGATTTTTCTTGTTCAAAACAAAAAACAGGAGGGCACATCAACCCATGTATATTGGATGTTGTTTCATAACTTGCTAGCTTATCTCTGCAACTCTCGTGTCGATCATGTTCATATTCCGTCGAAAAGAAACGATTTTTGCAGGCCTGCTTTTGGATAATATTCTTATAAAAATGCAATTTTTCCTTTTTTTTTTTCTTATAAAAAAATATTTTTATCTTTTTATGTATTTCGGATGTTGTTTCCTAACTTGCTAGCTTATATCTGTCACTCCCGTGTTGATTTTGTTCATATTCTGTCGAAAAGAAATGATTTTCGCAACCCCCCTTTTGGATAATGTTCTTATACAAATTATATACATGTCGTGTGATTTTTCTTGTTCAAAACAAAAAACAGGAGGGCACATCAACCCAGCTGTGACCTTTGGTTTATTCCTGGCAAGAAAGCTTTCTTTAACAAGGGCTGTATTCTACATAGTGATGCAATGCCTCGGTGCCATCTGTGGGGCCGGTGTAGTCAAGGGCTACATGAAAGGGCCTTACCAGAGACTACAAGGTGGGGCCAACTTTGTTAACCATGGTTACACCAAAGGCTCAGGTCTCGGTGCTGAGATAATCGGGACTTTTGTTCTTGTCTACACTGTCTTCTCGGCTACAGATGCCAAGAGAAATGCTCGAGACTCGCATGTCCCTGTATGTATTTTGTTTTCTTTGTTATTTTGTCACTCTTTGTTTTTGTGTGTCTTTAATTTGCTTGTGCGGACTTTTAGTGATTGTTCTTGGGCTATGTTCGATAGCCAAATAAGTTACCTTATAGCTTATTTGGTTAGGTTATAAACTTCATGTATTTAATAAGTTTCAATTGGTAAGATGAGCTTTTCTAAAAAGTTCGAACTTGTTAACTTTTCAAATAAGCTTGTTTAAAATTTTATTTCAGCTTAGCTTATCGACTAATTTTACCAAACATTTTTATCATATAAGCTAACTTTTCAGCTATAAGTCATAAGTTATAAGCTTATAGGCTCGAAAATTACTTGTAAGCTATCAGCTAGCTTATTTAGCTAGTTTTACTAGACATAGCCTTGGCTGATACCTCGAAAGCGTTACCAATGAGTCAGCATATCGAATCAATGAATGATGAACATTTATGAGAGAGAGTAGGCAAGTGGAAGAGAGTCGATTTATATGGGAGATATTGGTCCCTTGAGGTTTGAAAAGTTTCAGATGCGATGTTTGTTTGGGTGTATGGTTCATTTTTTTCATTTACGAAAGTCGAGCAATTTTGTAGGAGCGAAAAATTGGGGCTTTGCTTGAATATTGCTTTTCTAAAATATGTTGAAATGGTAGTTTGATTCTCATTGTAAGCATGTGTATAATAATAATCCCATTTTTGTGCATTCGACATTCATCCGAGTTTAAAACGAAGATTTTGAATTTGTGTTAGAATAAATTTGCAGATTTTGGCTCCTCTTCCCATTGGATTTGCGGTCTTTCTTGTTCACTTAGCGACCATCCCAATTACCGGGACAGGAATTAACCCAGCTCGGAGCCTTGGGGCCGCCATTATTTACAACCGAGACCATGCATGGGATGACCATGTAAGACATTTAAGTCATTCAACTCGTAATAGTATTGTATACAAATTACAATTTACAAGCTCGTNTGTTGTAATGTCAATCTGAATGTAAATTATGAAGCATGTATGTATTAGTTGTATCTGCACTTTCATGGATGAAATAAATATTGACCTTTTTACCTTATCTCTACTTAAACTTTCTAATTTGGTACTTTTTTTTTTTTTTCTTCCTTTCTTTTCCTCCTTTTTCCTTTAATTTAGTACCATTTCTCCTAAAATTGATATATATTTGATCAAACAGTTTTCCATAACGGTTCAAATGAACAAAATGGGGTGGATACAAGAGTTAAAAATGTGTGTCTCCTGAAAACCAAATATTATTTGGGGAAAGAGAGTGAATTAAGTTTAATCCAAATGCTCCCAAATTGCTGCAATACTTTTTCAAATGAAAATGCATATGCTTCAAAACAGCAGATGAATATAATTCTCACCAAAAAGTTGAATAAGTATGCATTATTGTTAAAAAAATATGACTAGCAAGGCTTGTATAAGTATGCATTATTATTTTTAAATATGGCATTGTAGAATTCAAATTTACAGCGAAAAGATGCAGCCTAGAGCTTATTATGAATCAAGGCATGAAATCGAGAGACAGACAGACTTCTGAATAAATTCCAAAATCTGAACCGATAAGCAAATATAACTGCAAAAAGGGATGAAGATGAAATCACTAATATTGCATTACACAAAAACCACAATGGACGAACAACGTTTTCTCACCTTCATCGCTTATCAGAAAAGTGGAGAAGATTCAGAAGAACATTAGCAAGAGAAAAAGCCAACCTAGAACATTAGCAAGAGAAAAAGCCAACCTAAGCAAGAAAATTTTCCATTTCGAAAATCGATGCCTAAAAACTCTTTCTATACAAGAAAAGGAAGAACACTACACATCATAAAGTAACTCCAAGACAATACACTACACCTAATAATCCTTAACCGAACTCCAAACTTCAACACACTGTTGATCTCTCCTCGTCACAAACATTTTACTCCCGCCAAAACTCAAATTCGTAATCCTATCCCCACCCATATCCTTAACTCTTCCCATCAAGTTCTTCTTAAACACTCTCCCGGCCAAACCATTTTCCGATGATCTCTCAACAGAACCAATCAAGACCTCTGACCAAAGCTCGAGTTTTCCACCTTTACTGCAGAAAATCTGATTCCCATGGCTCTCAACCTTACACCCAAGCCCTTCCTTCTTACCATTCGCCACTTTCCGGCCATCTTCCCCAAGACAAACCCAAGAATGATCATCATCACTCTCCATAACCCTAAAATCCGCATAAAAAACCTCACCCGTATTTACACCAACCTTAAACATCGCGCAAAGTGTGTTCGAAACAGTCACATCAGAAAAGCAATCATTTTTCTCCTTAATTTCCCAAACCAAATTCCCGGACCTAATGTCCCAGAATTTTATATTACCAAACACACCCGAAGGCCCGCTGTGCGAGCCTGAAGCCATCAACAAATTATGGCTCGAGACCCATTGGAGTTTAGTGGCTGGGATTGCCGAATAAAGATCAGCCCCGAATATCTCATAGTGGCCGATTTCAGTCATTGGCCGTAAAGTATTAATATCGTAAACCATTATGCAGTTTGAATTCCTTCGTCCCGACTCGAAGCTAGTGAACAAATGCTCATTCGATGCGCCAATGGCTTGTACAGTGGAGCTTGATTTAGTAACATTTTCCCAATTCAAAGTCTCCTTAACAAAACCCTTGTCCAGATCAAGAATCTGCAGGCCTGAGAAATCGGTGGCTCCGGCTGCCGCCAGCTCAGGGGATAAGGCCAGAAGTGAGTCAACGGCTGTGAATTGGGTCAAGACCGTCGATTTTCGCCTCAAGGACCAGTCGAAAGATGTGATTTTGCTGCCGTGGGCCACGTGCAGGGAGCCGTGAAGTGTGGTGGAGATGGCCGAAGGGGAATCCCGGCCGGTCATGGGGAGGACATGGGATTTCTCGAGGTTGAAGGGTTCGAATTGGGTAGGGCTAGATTGGGAGTTTACTAAGAGATTCTCGATGCCGTAAAATCGGGATTCGAATATCAGGTCCTGCATGTCGAAGGACTTGGCTTTCGACGGGAAGTTTCCGGTTCGGAGGAGGGAGAGTAAGATCGAGAAAAGCTCCGGGTCCCGGTCGACGAACGGGATCGAGTCGTCGGAATTTGAGATCTTCGAAAAAATCGAATCTGGGCCTGCTAGGGATAACGTCTGTTTGGTCGTTTGGAAAAGCTGCCCCCCGACGTCGATCGTGACTATGTTCGAATTCCAGTCGCGGCGGACGGCGCCGGTCGTTGGGGACTTCGGTCCGGCGAAAGGCGGCATTTTTATCACTCACAAAAAAAAAAAGCGCCCTAATCTTTTGGAAATTATTGTCAAATATCAAAGGAAGCGTGGATTATCAGAAGAATTCGTGGGAGCCCATATGGGAAAAGGCAAGAATAAATCAATCTTGCACAGCCAAGAAATCGAATTTTGAAAAAAGGGGGCTTCTAATTAGGGCAGAAGCCAAGAATCCTCAAATTGGTGGCTTCAATGGTAGGAAAAAAACAAGGAAGAAATTTATCTTAGATCAAAGACTGAATTTTTTTAGTATTTGAATTGTTCCTTGCCCTCAATTTGTAGGTAGGAGAGAGAGGGAAAGAGTATTAATGGGAAATGAAAAGTAGGGAAAATAGGTAAATAGCATCTAGAAGGTCAGGCTGGTCAGCAATGGCTTCTGGTCAGCTAAGCTACAAAGAGGGTTATTATTTCTTGGGGAGAAAGTAGGAGTTATTGGATGCTAATCTGCTATTCATCACAACATTTAAAACGTTTCATAAATTATGTCATTCAAATTCTAGAAGACTATTGTGGCTATTTTCGGGAATTAATGGATAGTGAATAGGTGATATATGATTAAACACAATTTTTTTCTGTGTTATACTTTTTTTAATAAAAATTTATGCTTAACAATATCAATAAATAACTAATGACGAATAAATATTTGATATCAATAAATAAATGACAAAAAAATTATATTGGTAGTTTTCTAGACTAAAAATGCTAATTCCAACAGTACCTTCAAAACCTATAATTAAGTCAGAAAAAAAAAATGCTTAACAACCACCTATGACTGCCATCGGATATTGTTTTATTTGAAGAAACAAAAATGGTTAGGAAAATTGAAGATTTAATAGAATAACAACAATTATTAAATAAAAAGAGTAAAAAAATTATTCCATTAGTCAAAATCGATTTTAATTTAGTGTCCGTCTGCAGCAAAATGCTTTATGAAGACATTTTTTTTTTCAAGTGGTCGCCATAATTTATTGTAAGGATACATGTATTCAACTTTCGATTTTTTTTTTTTTCCAAGTATATTATTGTCATGAAACCAATGTGTTTTTAAAGTGCCTCACCTTTACCTAATCTACCCAACAAATTTCCTCATAAATTTAATTACGGGTTAGTTGGCTCATCAAATTCATAGACCTTATAGTACGTGCGTGGCCGTAGATGTCTAGGGAATACCAGATTTTCCACGCCCTAGCAAAATGCTTTTTTTTATTCAGAAAACAAAAGGAACAGTGAAGAGAATGTTAGAAGTATATTTTTAAATAAAAATTCTCTCGACTGAGAGCCCCGATTATCTCGACTGAGACCTCGAATTCCCTTCTGGAAGTGGCTTTCATTCTCATGTAGATGAGATCTCGGGATTCTTACAACCAGCATTGACGCTTTTTACCAAACCTTTGTTTTGGGGGAGTGGCATTGGCGATTTTCTAGGTATGGAAGAGGAATTGGAAAAAAGGCTGAAGAAGATAGTTATTTCGCAATCGGAAAAAAAGATTGTGGACCTGGAAGACGAGGATGTGGTTCTCAGCAGTGAGGAGTGCCGTCGTAGTCTCCTGGGGAAAATATTGGGCGATAGAAAAGCGACTCTATTTGGGGTTAAAAGAACGATGGGCAGTATTTGGCAAATAGAAGCACCTTTGGAGGTCAGAGAGATTGGACATAATTTCTTCCAATTTATTTTTGGAAATGAAGAAGACAAACAGAAAGTGCTGACAGGTACGAGTTGGCTTTTTGAAAACCAATATTTAGTTCTCAGTGAATGGGAAGAGGGCATATCAGCTCGCAGCTTATGTTTCAAGCAGATCAATTTATGGGTTCAAGTACACAATGTGCCTCTACATTGGCTCACTGCAGATGTGGGGTTAAAGGTGGGACAAATTTTCAAAAAGGTGAAGAATGTCATGATGGTGAGGGCTGGGGGCTCGAAGGGTAGTTATCTCAGAATCCTAGTATCCATGGATATCTCTGAACCCGTACCTCGTTTCTCTACTATTAGGCTGCATAATACTCAGTCAGAAGTGCAGTTTAGATACGAGAAGCTCGTGAATTTGTGCTTCTATTGCGGGAAAATTGGACACCTGGAGAGGAACTGCGGGAAAAAAAGTGAAGACATAGATAAAGGAGAATTACAGGATGGGCAATACGGGGAATGGCTAAGAGCGGAAGCAAGCAGCACAGGATCTAAACAAAACCATTCTCACCACTCAGGCCAGGTTAATGAAGTGGTTACGCCCCGTAAGCAGGACCAGGTTCCGTCATCATCGGAGAAGGATAATTTTGATTCTCTAAGTCCTGTGTCTGGGAAATTAATGAGCAAAGCAATTATAAATGTGGAGGAACCAGGGGGCAGTTCAGAGGAGGGGAGAGGTGGGAACCGAAGTTACCCAGAACAACTATCAACATCCAAAATCGCAAGTCCTAAACCTGTTATGAAGACTACCTCTGAGAAGCAACTGCTGAAGGCACCAATTGATGCGGGCCAACAGATGGAGATTGAAAAAGAGACTCAGGCTACAACCAAGAGTTTGGACACAGCAAAACAGCCTGCCCCACAAATAAATAAAAGCATCAAAAAGAGCTGGAAAAGAGTCCCAAAAAGTGAAGACAAACCTTGTAAAGAGAAAGGTATAATACTTGATTTCTCTGCATGCTCAGAACTGAAGAGAAGTAGGAATGTGACATCTTAAGAAGAGGAGGATGAGACATCAGAGCGGTTAGATGGTGGAAGAAATAAAAAAACCAAGTTAGAAGCTAAACAGGTGGTGGTAGCCAACCTTAAGTGGCCCCAAAGTGATCAATGAAGACAATCTTGTGGAACTGTAGAGGTCTGGGTGGACCCTCTACAGTATCCCAGTTGAGGGAAGCCATTAGGCACCATCACCCAAATTTTATTTTTCTGTCTGAAACTAGGAAGTCTGGGGAGTTCTCTAAAACGGTTTGTAAAAAGTTGGGGTTTCATAACAGGTGGAGTTTGGTTGAACCTAGGGGTCTTAGTGGGGGTTTATTGCTTATGTGGAATACTGAGGTTGAAGTGGTGCAGATTTTTAGCAATGATTTTTGTTTTGAAGTGGAAGCTAAGATGGTGGGATCCCAAAATTCTTGTTGGGTAGTGTTAGTGTATGCTAGCACTGATAGGGTGGAGAGGGTAGCTCAGTGGGATTATTTAAGTAGTGTGAGGCACAGGTGGGGTGATAGATGGTTTATAGGTGGGGATTGGAACTCTATTTGCTATCCAGAGGAAAAAAAGGGGGGAAGAGCCAAATCCCATAGTCAGTTGGTGGGTTTTAATGAGTTTATCACAGGTATGGGGATGGGTGAAATCCATATGAGAGGGCATAAATTTACTTGGGGGAATAATAGGCAATCTGAGGGTTTCATTGAGGAGAAGTTGGATAGAGTGTTTGGCTCTTTCCAATGGTTAGCTGAGCACCCAAATTGTGTGGTCTTGAATACATTCAAAAGCTCCTCTGACCATGGTCTTTTAGTTCTTGATCCAGAACCTATGGAGAATTACAGAAAGAAGAAGAGGTTTTCTTTTGATCAAAGATGGCTGCAAAAACCAGGAATTGAAGAGACAGTGAGAGGGGCATGGGAGCAGTCTCAAGAAGGAACTCCTATGTTTGTTATGAAGGAAAAGATAAAGAAAACAAGAGTAGCTCTGCTTATCTGGAGCAAAGCTCTTACCTCAAATAATGCTCAGAACATAGCTAGACTGTCCTTATCCCTTGAAGAGATGAGTAAAGCTGGAGGACAAAGGAATTGGGAAGAATGGAACAAAATGAAGCAGGAACTAGATGATGCTCACACATCTGAGGAGCAATTCTGGATGCAAAAGTCAAGGGCTACATGGTTGAGAGAAGGAGACAAGAATACAAGGTTTTTTCACGCACTTACAATGCAGAGGAGAAAGACAAATTCCATTTCCAGATTGGTGGACAGTCAAAATAATGTGTGTGAGGATAAAGCTGCTCTGGAGAAATGTATTGTGGACTTTTATGAGAATTTGTTCACCTCAGAAGGGTCTTCTATGGAATCAGAACTGCTTCAATTAATCCCTAAAACCATATCAGAAGAGATGAACAAGAATCTGACAGCAGAGGTCACAGAAGCTGAAGTAAAAGATGCATTATTCAGTATGAATCCCAGAAAAGCTCCCGGGGAAGATGGCATGTCTCCGTTATTTTTTCAACACTTTTGGCCAATTATAAAGGAGGATCTCTTAAATGCTGTGGTGAGCTTCTTTCAATCTGGCATGTTATTAAGAAGTTGGAATCATACTATTATTACTCTCATTCCAAAATGCACTAACCCTACTTCTCTGAGTCAGTTTCGACCTATAAGCCTTTGTGGGGTTTCTTATAAAATCATATCCCGAGTGTTGACTGCTAGATTAAAGAGTTGCCTAAGCTATTGCATTGGTGAATCTCAAAATGCTTTTATTCCTGAGAGGCAACTCATGGATAATGTGGTTATTGCACATGAAGCTATCCATTTTCTAAACCGCCACAGATCTGGTAGTAAGTGCTTTATGGCTGTTAAGTTGGATATGATGAAGGCGTATGATCGACTTGAGTGGAACAGCATCATTAAAATGCTTGTGCAAATGGGGTTCGACAGGGTGTTTGTTAAATGGATTTCTGCTTGCATTTCCTCCACAGCTTTCTCTTTTAACTTAAATGGGGATGTCTGTGGTTTTGTGAAGCCTTCTAGGGGTATTAGGCAGGGGGACCCATTATCTCCATACCTATTCATCCTAGTGTCTGAAATGTTATCTAAGTTGATTGCAGCAGAGGTGCTTAGAGGGAAATTCAAAGGTCTGAAAATTGCTAGAAATGGTATGGCTATCACTCATCTTTTGTTTGCAGATGACCTGTTGGTATTTTGCGAGGCTTCCTGTCAACAGAGTAATACAATCTTGAATATTCTGCTTAAATACCAGAAGTTCACTGGCCAGTGTGTGAATTTGGAGAAGTCCACTGTGTTTTTCAGCAGGAATACCCCTTCTGTCACTCAAAATCAAATATGCAGGTTGCTTAATGGGATTACAGTTCATAATTCATCTAGATATCTGGGTATGCCTTTGGGGATTGGAAAGTCCAAAAAGGAAGCCTTTGAATCTGTGTTGGTTGCTGTGAGAAAAAGGCTGCAAAGCTGGAAGAATTCATTTCTATCCACTGGGGGGAGAGAGGTTTTACTAAAGGCTGTTATAAATGCCATTCCCGTTTTCATTATGTCAGTGTTTACCCTGCCAAAAGGAATCTGTATGGAGATCTCTAAATTGTGTGCTAAATTTTGGTGGAGCACTGGGGATGTGAACAAGCCAGGTATTCATTGGAAAGCTTGGAATCTGGTCACTACTCCTAAATTTTGGGGTGGTTTGGGGTTCCAAGATCTTCAGTTGTTCAACCAGGCTTTAATCCTCAAGCAAATCTGGAGAATACTCACTAAACCCAATCTGCTGGTCTCCAAAATACTGAAAGAAAGATATTTTCCCAGAGGATCTATTCTAGAAGCAAATAAAACACAAGGGTCCTCCTGGATGTGGGCCTGCTTGGTGGATGTGAAGAATGCCTATCACCATTTCTTCAGAAGAGAAGTGAGAGATGGTCTTAGTACCAGAATCCTAAAAGACCCTTGGCTTCAGAATTCAAAGGATGGAGTTCCTAGCTTTAAGAGAAACTGCACTCAGCAACTCTCATTGGTGGCTGAACTATTTGATGGAGGTGGTAGACACTGGAATTTAGAACTTCTCAGGGAACTTTTTGAAGAACCTGTGGTGAACCAAATCCTCAAAATTAAAAATATGGATCCTTCGCAAAGAGATAAATGGGTGTGGAGTGTGGATGCCAAAGGTATGTTCTCTGTGAAATCTGCTTATTCAGTGGCGGTATGGAATAAAATTTTGAAACTGGATAGACCAGAAAGCAGCACATCAAGGAACAGAGATAAGGCAGCTAGGTTGAGATGCTGGAATCTAAACATTAAAAGCAAGATCAAGCATTTTGTATGGAGGGGATTTTCAGAGACCCTGCCAGTTGCAAACAATCTGAAGAAAAGAGGTATGGATGTTGACTGGATATGTAAATGTTGTGGGGAAGAAAAGGAAAGTACAGAACATGCACTATTTTATTGCAACAGGGCTGCTAAGGTGTGGGAGACCTCGGCTTTGGATTGGGAATTCTGTCAGCAGAAAACAGGGACCTTTAGGGAATGGTGGTGGCAAGTTTCCGAGCTAAATAAAACTGAGACTTCCGAAGCCCGAATTCAATTATCCACGTATATCCTCTGGTGGTTGTGGAAGGCTCGGAATTTATGGGTGTTTCAAAAGGAATGGATGCCGGAGAACGTTATTGTTAAAAATGCGTGGAAGGAATGGACCGAGTATGTAGCCTGCAGAGCCAAATGAAGTCAGTTAGCAAGGAGAATTGGTAGACTAGGTCCTTTATGTTCAGTTTTCTTCCTTTTCTCCTTTTGTGTGTGTGTGATTGTTGCTGTGGTTTGTTTGTATGGAATATGGGTTTCGAGTCTTTGGCCTCGCCTAGTATTCTGATTATTGTTTTGTAGATTTGATTCTAGGGCATCGGTTGTGATGTGCCTCCAGTGTGTTGTTATCGCATTCGGGCTCGTTAGCCTTTCGGGTTGTAAAACGTTTGTTTTGTTTAGTTATGAGTATTTCTGCCGTTTCGAAAAAAAAAAAAAAGAGAATGTTAGAAATATTTTATGACAACATACGTAAATTAAATGTATATAGTCCTTTCCTGTATTGCAATTCTTCTGTATACTGTGTATTGGACTGGTGAGGACTTCTAAAACAGTAATTAAGGTACCCTTCTGCTCCTCTGTTTGTTTGACTCTTAATGATTTACAATGATTTTGAGATTGAATTTATACCAACAGAGAAAGCACCAAAATTATCATCTTCCAAAATCTATCACATCTTGTATAAGTATATCAGCAGCAGCAGCATTTTTCACTGGCAGTTCTAGCTACACACATAATGTAATGTTATCTAACATATACAAGAAACCGAAAAATACCTAAACCACGACGAACCTTCAACACATGCGTGTCCCGAGCATCATACTATCGTAATATTACATCTATCGACTATCGTCAAAATATAAGTCACCTGCTATCTGCTGTTCTTGTGNAAAAAAAAAAAAAAAAAAAACGCCCTTTCGAGTCATTTTTGCCGAACTCTCGATCACGAGTGCGAAAAACGGAAAAACAACCAGTGGTTATCCGGAGTCCTATCCTCGTCAGCAACCTTCTCATTAACACCATCGAAATTAAATTCCTTGCTCGATCCAAGTGTGATTGTTCGGGTTTTTTCACGTTTCTGCTCAATGTCATCACCATCATCAGCTCGATTTTTCTCGTTTTTTACAGTAGTGGTATCTTCTTCTTCTTCTTCTTCTTCTTCTTCTTCCATTTTCGATCTTTTTTCTTCTCTTTTATGATCTTCGCCATTATTCTCAATAGACTCAACAAGTTCATTCCCTTTCATCTCGATCGACACTTTGTGATTCACCACACTCGAGTTCTCACGATCCAGCTGAACGATCTTCTCAAGATCAAGAAGCTTCGGCGGATTGCCCGTCCTGAATTCGAGGAAAAACGGGACGTTTGGCGAAGATGTGCCCGAACCCGAAATTCCCGAGCTAGGCGAGATCAAGTGGCTGACCGGGCTGCCCGGCTGAAGCTGATACGACTGGAATTCGTATTGACCAAAAGGGTATCTCTGAACATTCGGCTCGAGAAGCCTAGCAAACGGAACTTCGGGTGAAGAGGGAGTAGTTAAATGGGCCGATTCAGGCGGAGGAGTGTAAGGGGCAGTCGAGGGCTCGGTTGTGAAGGTGGAGAAGACTGGGGGAGAAACGGGCCGAGTATCGTGGGCGTAGGGCCCAATGGTGAATATTGAATTGGGCCCATTTGGAGAGTAGGGCCCAACGGAAGTTGGCACGCCGGTTGGGGATTGGGCTTCGGAAGGGATGAAGGAGACGGGTGAAGAAGGAGGGGCCACGAAAGGAAGCATGATTGATTGGGCTTGTTGTATGGGCGGGTCGGGCCCGGAAGTGGGCGGGTTGGGCCCGGATGAGAGTGTAGTGGGCTCGGGGATAAGAACGGCGGGCCCAATACGTTTGTTGTTTTTGTTCGACCCGAAACAGGAGTAGATGCTCCAGCAGCTTGCCCAGCGCCTTTTCTGCAAAACATTGAAGAGTTTATGCAAACTGAATTCATTAAAGACATATATACCGAAAGAAATCTTAACCAAAGCCAATATGAAGGTGGAGATTTACTCGTAATCGCAGATAGTGAATCCATATTCTGAGGAGCTAATAAAAATGACGTAAATTTTCGAAACAAACTGCAGAAAAGTTTAACCAAATAATCGTAACATCTTAACTAGACAAAGGATCGGTTTCACGGAGGTAACAGTATATGACAAATTTTATCGAAAATCATAAAGGAAGCTAGCATCAAATTGTCCGAGGAAAACCAAATATCGGGTTCCTTCAGCTTTGCCATATTTTTTAAGCTTCTTTGTAGTGTCACAAGGAGATGATGGAATTTATAAACGCGAAAGCAATCATCAAGTTCTGAAATTTATTCAAACTGTGGGCTGCAGAATAACTGTACTATGAAGAATATTTGTTTGATTTTATCATTTTCCTCACTCACCACTTAACAGTAAAGCTGATTTTAATAGCTGTTAAACTGTCTGCCTCATGATGCTCATAAACACAAAATACCAACATTTTGGTTTCAGGCTTATCTTTTACCAAGCCACAACAAATGCTTGTTTAGAGCTTCTATTACTAACACTTGGATAAAGAAAGACACTTGTTAGCATTGAGATCCTAACGTTAAAAAGATGAGACTGACCATATTAATCGTGACGGTCTCTGGAAGGAAAACGGGATAAGCTAACTGCTCAGCTCTTACATCACTGAACATTTTATACAGCTAAAAAGGTGACATAAATCATTAAAATGATTTTTTTTTTTTTTTAAATGTGCGGACTTCACGGCATAACTTGCACCTTGTTAAAGAAAGCCGATATCATAGTAATATCTCCAACAAACTGTAATGATTGCAACCATAACAACTTCCAGAAAAAGACCGTTAAATTAATCGTGACAATTAGAAAAAGGAAAACAAACATGATGGATTATAACAAACAACACCACAGTAAAGTAGAGCTGTTGGGAAAGTCATTATTAACTAAAGCATTATTAATTTTTGTGTTTAACTGTAAGTAGGTTCCACAAACACAGCATTGGATACTCCTTCACATCGATTGAGTGGAGAATATAAGAATTTAAATTTTTTTAAAAAAAAATCACCAAATTATTGCACCAATCATTCAAAGGTAAAAAAAGATCGAACTTTTAAAACACCAATCAAGTTTGGTCAAAGTAAACCACAGAAAAAAGAAGCACAAATCCAAGCAACCCACTAAGTGTTACTGCTAATGTTGCTCCAGCTGCCTCTGTAGCTACCCGGCCCTTTAGGTAGCGCTCTACAAATGAGGGAAGACTTGTGGAAAGATATTTGCGTTGCATTATTGTTATAGATAAAAGGGCGGTACTACTCCTATTGTACGGCCGAGCTTGAGCTCCTGATAATCGGCTCTTTAACTAAACGAGCTCGAGCTTGGCAAGTTTATCAATATTAACAAGCCAAACTATAGAAAGCTACATAAAAGTTCCAATTCTTTAGCCTTAACGAGCCGAGCCCAATAGCCACTCGACTCGTTTCTTTTAACTGCTCTACCGTCCATTTTCTCATCAAAATCTTGCTAAAATCACACTACACCCAAATATTTCCTACGACAGCTGAACAAACTGAAGTCATTAAAAGCAGATTCAGAACGAATATCACCCAGATCTCAAATCTCACAAAGTATAGAAATTCACAAACTATTAAACACTGAAAAAACTCAAACCGATTGGAAAAACTACTACACTTCAATTCATCAGATTCACAGTTCGAGGTTAATAAGAAAAACAAAAAAGGGGGAAACTAAAATTTCAATCGCCATTTCGTATATACCTGATAGGACCCATGAGGGCCGCGAGCCTCGACGGAGGCGATCACGGTGGCGGCGGCGTTTATCGTCTCCAGCGCGTCGATTCCACTAACTCCTCTGTTCATCGTTAAATCAATCGGAAAAAGATGAAATTGAACTAAAAAACATATTCATCAAATATATAAAAAAATAATTATAAATATATTCAATCACTCTTTGGTTTTTTAGCGAGCTTGAGATTTCTTTTTGCAGAGAGCAAAAATGGCGCATAGAGACGGCGAAATTGTGCGAGCGGAAAAGCTGTAAATGAGTGTGTTTATATGTTCTTAGAAGTCAAACACGGCGATGACTAAAAGGGAGATTAGATTAGTTAATTAATGGTCGGAATTTACTAAAATGGGCTTCAAATATTGTTTTGAACTCAATTTCAATTTATATGTTCGAAGTTGGTTCTCATATCCATCAACCTTTCAAGCATTATATTTTGTTTAGAATTTTAGATTTAACTTTTTTAGGACAAAAATCTAATTTTGAAAAAACTCTAAGTTTTTTATGAAGAGAGAATTGGACATTTTTTTACAAGGGGTAGTTTTTCATATTTGTATTAATAGTTATATATTAAAAGATTTTATTAATTATTTATTAATACTATTTATTTACAAAAAAAATAAATTTAATATATCTGTAAATTATTTCACCTCAAAGAATCGTACATCTAATATTTTAAACTAATTACCTTTATAAGTCAATAATTTAATTATTTGCAATAACTTTATCATTTAACTACATAGTGAAAATAACAGTGATGATAAAAAATATTATTTAATTTTTTTCTAATTGTTCATTTTATAATTTTTCTCTACTAATATTACTTGCCAAATATAATTTTATAAATTTTTTTCTATTCAAAATAGTATAATTTGGATGAGAGGGGTAAATTAGTAAAATTTGTCCAACATTATGTAACTCAGAGCAAATAAATTAATAAACTAATGATTTTATTATTCGTGCAATGTAATTATCAAAGACTTTTTCGTGCCCACGTGTGGGCATCAACTTTCTGTCTACATGTTTTTTCGTGAGCGTAAGGTTTGCGGACCCCACCGTGAAAAACGCGTTACAATTTGGTCCTCAGTATTATTATTATTTGTAATGATATACTATTATATACTACTGTTTATATAACATAAAGTTTTCAGATTTTAGGTGTCGTGAAATGTTAGGTAAACTATATCTTTGTAGAGAACGTGAGTTAGATTGAAAAAAATATGTCCAGTGAAATTTATTTGAATAATAAATGGATATGAGTTAAAATGTAGATGTAAATTATTTAGATAATAATTGATAATTAATCATATATAAGTTGATAAATAGAGAATTTTATTAATAGAAGAGTAATGATTTGTTGATATTATTTATAAATTCTATTATTAATAATGCGAAATGACACATTTTCACTTCACAAAGACCCTTTAAAATATGATTTTTTTATAATTCTTTTTAGGATATGTCATACTATAAGAGATGACATAAAATTTAACATATAATACGTGTCATGATCTTGTTAATATGCTCATTATATCACTTTTAAAATTAACCATTATTAAATTTATCTATACAGATCGTGTTATGTCATCCTTGTGTCACCCTATTATCTGTTTAATTTATTTTATTTTATGTTATTTACAAATCTATATATATATCTATATATATATAAAGAGGTTGTTGGAAAAATACATTAATAGAAAGTTTGATCAAGTAAATATAATGTTTGACTTACTATTAATGGAAAGTTCAAAAAAATACATGTGAATCTTTAGTAACAAAATCTGAATCCTATTTTTTTGGTAACTAATTTGGAGATTCTTATGACAAAATTTGAATCCCATTTTTTTCGTATCATATTTTATTTTTTTATCAAAATTTAAATCATATATTTTTTGATAACAAATTTGGAGATTCTTATGTAAAAAATGTGTCAATTATTTATGAAAACAATTCTAAATACAAATTAACTTAAAAACGGTACAAATTGGATTCAAATTTTGGAAACAAATAGTTGTATAATTCTTAATTAATTCTTTCAATCTTATTGAATAATTTTTTCTTTCAAAAAAAAAAAGTGTGTAAATTGGATAAAACTACGTTCAATTTTTATTTTAGAATAAAACTGATATTTAGACGGGATGTACATTCAAAATTGTGTCCACATTTTTTGGTAACAAAAGCGGTTCATCTTTGATATTTAAAAATTAAAAAAATCTTAAAATATCCTTAAATATTTAACTTATTTGAGATCAAGATTTGTTAGGTCTTTTTAAGATTAGTTATGATTTAAAAAAAAAAATTATAAAAAATTTCACTATAAATCTCACATTCACACTTAAGATTTCATAGTATTCCTCTAGAATTTGACCATCTTAAAAGTCTCAAATCTTAAAAAATCTCAAAGTGGCACTCAAAATCCTAAACGAATACATATTATTTACCTATATCGTCAATTGACAATTATTATTTAATATTATTTACCCGTGCATCGCACGAGCCACATACTAGTCCTATATGATATACTTGCATATCAAGATCAAGAGTGAAGAGACACGCATCCTTATTTTGGTAAGTGCTGACGTTACGACGTCGTACAACTGTCCAGGGTCCATTTTTTCAACATTTCTTATATTTTTAGTTTTTTATTTCATATTTTTAAGGAAGCCTTATTGATATTTATAAATTGAAGCAACCTTGCGCTCGTGAAAGATGGATAGTGATGTGCCAATTTTTTTTATCATTTTTTTTTTTTTTGGGTTTTAAAGTCAACTCAAGAAAAGATGGAACTCCTGAATTAATTAAGATATAATAAATTTATAAACCCTTCAGTTTGAAAATAACTTAAACTAATAGTTGATCATATACACATGTATATACACATGCACATATATAAATTATGAAGTCTTGTAAATTATTTGTATATATAGTATTAAAATAAAAATAAATAATGATTATATCACATTTATAAATTTGATTGTTAATAAATTAACAATATAAATATGAATTATCTACCTATACACATGAATTGCTATATTGATTGCATAAAATGTAATACATAATATATTTTTTATTATTTTGAGGGATGATGACCAATTAATTACCAAGAAAAATATTGAAACATAATATTTATTATTATTATTATTATTATTATTATTATTATAGAATTTTTTAAGGGTTTTTTCCATGCCATTAAATTAATTATACGATTAGAGAACTAACATTACTTTGAGTAAATAACTTGAAAAAAAAATGCAATACAAGTCCCGTTTGGTAGATAACGGATTGAAGATAAATTAGCGGATTGGACTTAATTGAGAGGTTTGACCCGTCAAATCCGCTATTGAGCTTGTTTGGTAAATAGCTTATTTGATAAGCTCTTTGGGCCCAAAACTCTAATTTAGAAAAAGCTCATTAGAGCAGCTTTTTGGGATAGAGGATTCACAATTGAGAGGTTTTACTTAGAACTTTTTAATTTGTATTATTTATTTTACAATCTACATTGGTTTATAGCGCTAATAAATAATAATGTGTCATCCATATGATTAATTTATCTAGAAAAATATAAAATTCATAACTTCTTCATCAAGTGTTAATAAATTTAAAAAATATATATATATTTATAAATTACCAACTAAATAATATTAAACGTTTTAATATATTATTAAAAAAAGAATACACCCTAAATAATAAAATGTCCTTATTGGTCATTTTGCAATGTCAAATAGCTATAAGCTTTCAGCTATTTACCAAACATTTATTTAAACCGCTAATGCAATTGTTCATGTGTGATTTTACACCATATTTATGTAGTATCTAGAGCTTATTCATTGCATTATTGGTGTATAAATTGCATTATTGTGCTATAATTCTATATTTTGTGGAAAGGTATTACACGTGCTTGTTTTATAGATATTTTCACATATTTGTAGAGCTTGTGGCTATTGGAGGGCATGGTGAGTACCTAAAACCACCGGGATGATGAAAGATTGATGCATGGATGAAAAAAATGGAAGAAACGAGTGAAACGAGCAAAAATAAGAGTGCATATTTGTGACACGGGCAGTGACACCGGCACCATGCCCGTGTCAGAGGCCATGTCACCTCAACAGAGACAATTCGTAACCTGGGAGCTGACACGGACTGCGACACGGACGGTGACACGGGCAGACTGGTCGTGTCGCGCGCGCAGGCTGTTTTTTTTATCTTATCTATTTTGAAAAGGAGAAGGGTTTTGGACATTATAAAAGGCATATTTACCTTATTTTGATGGGAAGAACGAGAGAGACACAAGAGAGGAGCCCTAGAACACACAAGAGAAGCAATTGAGAAGCAAAAAAAGATCCAACTACAAAGGGATCGAGAAGATTGAAACATCGACGAGATTTCTAGTTTTTCTTTCTTCTTCCTTTTGAACTTTTATTTATCATGTCGATTTCTAATATGTCTATGTTTGAATTCGAACATGAGTGGCTAGATTATTTGATTCTAAGACTTGGTAGTAGATTAATATGTTGGGATTTTAGATGAATTATTATAATTAATTGTCTTCTTTTGAACCCTATTCAAATATTTTGTTCTTATTTCATGTTTAGCACTTGATCAATGCTTTTACATGTTTGACAATATTGTTCATAATTCGAGAGATGAGTTCAATATTAGGTCTTTAATATTTGACACAATTTACTTGCTTGAATCGAGAGATTAGTAGGTCGTTGTGAGGATATTAGATCTTTTAATCTATTTAGAGTTGAATTGCATGTATTGAATGGAGACGCTTATATATGTGATTTAATCTACGGTTTTATCGATCTCGAGAGGGACGATAAGCTAAATTTGTGATCATCTTATAGGAGAGATAAAGAAAACATTGGTTGTAATTTTGAAGGAACCCAACTATTAATTGAAACCAAAGTCTTAGAATCTATCATTCCCATATATTTTCTTACGTGTTACTCTAGCTAGTTCTTCATTTTTGTTTTATTTCTTATTGATTATATTTTCTTAGTTTAGTTAATCCATCTCATATTCGATCAACTAAATAAAGTTGACACTATCATAATCTGGTACTTGATATATTAATTATTTGGTCTCTTGGGATACGACCTTGCTTGCCACATACTACGAGCGAAGCCGTACACTTGCGGTTGAGCTTTAAAAATATAGGCGAACAGCAATCCGTTGGTCAAATCAACTAATATAATCCGCTATTCGCTATCCGCTGATACAATCCGCTATCCGCTATCTGCTATCCGCTGATCGCCAAACAAGACCATAATGGTTGATGATTATATAACTACATATATCATTAAGTGTAAATTATAATTAGTTGATTTTAGTAATAACTATGGTATGATAGAACAATTAAAAAAATATGATTACACCTAATTAATATAAAATATAATGGTTTCACCATAATTGATTGAAAAATTGGCAGAAAATTTTGTCATTTGCATTAATTTGATAGCCTGAAATTATATACATAGATACTATTAGTTATTTGAGCGTGTAAACTAATCAAATCAAAAGAATATTTGACTATTGAATTTGGATCTATAAAAATAATTAAGTATTTGTATTAAATCAAAGGATTCAATTACTGATTATCCGATTCGTCTAAATTAATTGAATATATTCAGCACCATTCAAAATTTATTTTTACAAATTAGTATAAATAAATAAAATATGTATGTATATAATGCATAAACATATATTTATTTATTATATATTTATATATATCATATGAACAAAAATTTTAACTTCTATACAATATATTTAACTTTCAGAATACTTGGTAATTTCAAATAAATTGTGTTTATAAATAATTAAGATGAACTAGCATTCTTATCCGAATACGAATTTCACAAATATGAATTACAAATTAAATTGAATAAAAGAATTGATTTTATTACAATAATTAATTACCTCTAAGTTAAAATTAGAACCAAAGAGAAATGCAATTGATCCATAAGTAAAATTTTGCAATTGTAATATTTTTCTCTTTAAACATTGTGTTATTATTTATTAGTATAATATTTATCTCCATGCTTTTTAATATTTATTAGTTTATTCCAATAGGATTTTGGATAACTATTTGTATCATGCTTATGCATTTCCAAAAACTTATAGGAACACTGGCTTGTTTGGATAAGCACTAAAACCTAAATATAGGCTGCAGTTTGTTGACTTTAATGTGCCACAATTTTCAAATTAACACGCAATTAATATTCACAATATTTATTCCAACATAAAATATTATGAAATCTAAATATCAGATGACATATCAGAACACCAATCCAATCACACACAAACCTGTCAAATAATTTAAAGGAAAAAAAAAAAGGCAACACATATACAAAAGTAAGAACATAAGTCATGAGGGATGCAATGTTGTCTTGTGCTAGATAAAAGAGATAGATGTGGACAAAACTATAAATGAATATCAAATAAAATATTTAGTTAAATGTGTGCTATACAAAAATGATGGTTGATAGTATTTGACATTTAAAATATGCAAATGAGCGAATTGGAATTATTATTATTATAAAAATTATACATTAATAATTGATTTATATTTTTTTAGTTCATTTGTTGGTCCAATCCCCCTCTCCTATATATTAAATCAGAACGTGCTGAGCCTAAGTGGCAGACTCGCATGCTTCGAGATCATATGTGACAAAATTACATGTTCGTTATTAGGCTTGGGTAGATTTTAATTTACATTCAATCCAAAAATAATTAGGTCATGTGACATGTATTTAACTGCATTTTAATATCATTTCTTATTATAACCATTGAATTGTAAATGTATTTTAAAAGTTAATAACTTTTGTATTTTTTATCAAATTTAAATGTATAATATATCAAATTAATCATCTGTTGATGAGCTTTGATTTCACATTCATATTGTATGTTGTTGATGACCGACTTGGTTTCGTGAGATTAAGCTAAAGATTAACTGCCCCGTTCGATCAGTGGTCCTCCAGAAATAGCTGAACTTAGCTCAAGTCGGTATCAGCTGAATAAATTAATTACCGACTTCCAGATGGTAGAAAGTAGAACCGACTGTTTATCAGAAACCGATGACCGACTTCACTGACATCGTGATTCGCTCAAAAATTATCCATTTAACCGACATCTGAGGGGATCAAATATCCAAGCAGATGGTGTTGTCAACATTTGATTGGACCATCTAAACAAGAAGCAATAATTGATGTTCCCTTGTTCCATTACACACCGCTTTATTGAAGCTGTTCAACATTAAATGCGATCTTATTTACCTCGGACAAAAAGACAAAAACAACCGTACTATAAATAGCAGAATTTATGATTGTACGAGGATCTTTTCTCACACATTGTACACGGACTTAAAATGATCTCGGTCAAGAACAGAAAACCGACTTCCTGTACTCTTGTGAACTTATCAATAAAACACAATTTTATATTTGGTTTTGTTTAAATACATCTTGCTGTTTGTGATTTTGAGTTGTTAATTCCATACAACAGCATATGTATAAAAAAAATAAATTATATTTATTTTTATAACAATAATAAAATTATTTTTTAATATTAATTAGGACAACAAAATTATTTATCAATTAATATATTTATATTTCAAGTAGTTATATGATGTAAGTCTTAAAAATCTCTATAATAATACACATGTAAGTCGCACAAGTAACAAGTGTCATTCTAAAATATATAATAATATATATTTTTTTGTAAAAAATTACATGAAATTTAAAATAATTTTTCTCATTAATTTTAAAATTTAAGAATAATTTTTTAACAAGCACCGGTGTAATACAGAATAATTTTTTAAAAAGTACCTGTGTGATACACAAGTGCTGTACTAGTAGGTTATTCATCAGTAAAATCTCTCTCAAGGTAAATAGTGTAGTATGTCCATGAAAGCTACACAAATGAAGAATAAAAATGTATAATTATGCAGTAACATTCACAATTATGTTGTTTTTTAAAAAGCATAACATTTCAATATTTTTTATAAAAATATGCATCTTTTCCCATTTTCTCACTATATATTAATTCAGAACGTCTTGAGCCTAAGTGGAAGGCTCGCATACTTCGGGATCCTATATGACAAAATTACATGCTTCGTTATTAGGCTTGGGTAGATTCTAATTTATTTCCAATCCAAAAATAATTAGGTCCGAATTATCCATAAATATGTTGATTATTTATAGTCATGTCATATGTATTAACTGTATTTTAATATCATTTCTTATTATAACCATTGAATTGTAAATGTATTGTAAAAGTTAATAACTTTTATATTTTTTATCAAATTTACATATATAATATATAAAATTAATCATCTTTTGATGATGTTCGATTTAACATCCATATTGTATGTATAAAACAATAAATTATATTTATCTTTATAACAATAATAAAATTATTTTTTAATATTAATTAGAAAAATAAAATTATTTATCAATTAATTAATATATTTATATTTCAAGTAGTTATATGATATAAGTTACAAAACTTATTATAATAAGACACATGTAAATCGCACAAGTAACAAGTGTTATTCTAAAATATATAATAATATATATTTTTTGTGAAAAAGTAAATAAAATTTTAAAAGAATTTTTCTCATTAATTTTAAAATTTAAGAATAATTTTTTAACACACACCCGTGTAGGTGTTGTACCAGTAGGTTATTCGTCACTAAAATCTCTCTCAAGGTAAATAGTATAGTATGCCCATGAAAGCTACACAAATGAAGAATAAAAATGTATAATTATGCAGTAAGAATCACAGGCCTAGTTATGTTGTTTTTTAAAAAAAGCATAACATTTCAATATTTTTTATAAAAATAAGCATCTTTTCCCATTTCCTTATTTTATTAAATTGTTTCTCCCAACAAATTGTTTGCAAAAATCTGAAAAAAAAAAAAAAAAAAAAAAAAAAAAAAAAAAAACTCGGAAGGAACTCTACATAGAATATCATATTCAGACGAACGGAAAAACGAGCATATATGACACGAAAGGAGTAAAGGTTCTTGGAGCAAATGAGCATTGGAGAAGAATAAAATGTTTTTATCATCGCATGGCAGATAACATATCATTTACAGATAAACAAAAAAAAACTCGGTTAACCTTGAAAAGTTCTTTTGTACGCCTATGGATCGGCTTTCCCAAATGAGCATTGGAGAAGAATAAAATGTTTTTATCATCGCATGGCAGATAACATATCATTTACAGATAAACAGAAAAAAACTCGGTTAACCTTGAAAAGTTCTTTTGTACGCCTATGGATCGGCTTTCCCAACAATTTCATCGTCAGTTGAAGCAACTTCATCCTCAGTTAGTTCCTCGTCACTTGATTTTTCATCTGCTGCAACCCCTGCATCCTCAGGTTTCGCATATTTTTCACAATACTCTGAAATTAAATTTAAAAAAAAAAAAATGTAATAAGCTATTAAAAAAGACACATTCAAAACAATGACATAATTACTTTAACGGATTGTCATATTTTTCTTGATCCACAGACAATAGTCTTAAATGCTACGATGAAATGAAAAGCTGCTTTGAGTTAATCTGGATGGACTATTAGATTGATCATGATTAAGGTATCAAGATGAGTTAATTCTGCTAGCTTGTTCGACTATTACGAATAAAGGATTCTTAGAGATGGATAAATAAAGAGTAACAAATTTGTAAATGTTCATCTTATTTACGTACACTATTCTTCCTGCATTCGTCTTGGATTTGAGCATAAAAAACCTTCACTTAATTTATGGTGCAGACTAATAACTAATCTAAAATGGAGCTCAATTTGCCATATCTTTTTTTGTTATTATTATTATTTTACAGCCACAAAATAGAGTTATAAGCTGACACACACTACAAGTCGGCAGCTAAACATTT